TGATAGTGTATTGCCAGGATGAGATGATGAGTAATCCACCTAGGCAGGAAAACGCTATTCTTTTCAAAAACAATAAATAATTGAGTTAATTTCATTTCTCATAATTACGTTTGAGCTCTATACACTTCGTCCAACAATTATTCAATTTTTTTCCATTGCTTCAGCTATATTACATTTAGTAACTCGTCGATCATCTAATATTATTCTATGAGTTTTATTCATCATCAAAAATATTGGCAAGACTCCATTATTTTACTGTTGATGTTGAAGGAACACATTTCATAAGTATATATTCAATTTGAAACAAGAATCCAATGACTGCACAATATTCAATTTTATTAATTTTGTAAAACTTGTTCACTTTCAACGACTCTTAAAAACTTAACCTTTTGAAAATAGCATGATGGTGTCATTATTGGCGCCGCCTCTTGCAAAGGTCGATTACCCTTCAACCTATATAATTATATTCAAATTGAAATTCTTATGTCGATAATATGAATTAAAAAAATATTCATGATTTAATTTTCAAAACTGTTTTTACCATATTAAAAAAACGTAATTGGTTACAATAATGTTTGAATAGGAAATATTTTACTAACCTTGGTAAAGGGGTGTCGCTACCATCTAATCTGAATGGAGTTCCTTCAATTTGCCCCCAAGTCATCAGTGGACTACCCAGAAGACTCGGTGAAGGAGAAGGAGTCCTTACGAAGCTGAAACCATTAACCTGTGGGGTATCAGGTTTTACCAATTCTTTGCCATCAACACCTATTTTTCCATCTAAAACCTGTAAAATAATTATGATGAATTATGAGTAGAATCAATCAAGGTTTTACATTACAGTTGAGATCAAAGGAAGGGAATAGTCCTAATGTTTTACTGCCTTGAAATAATAAAAAGATAAAACTTTATTATCAACATTGACATTTTATATACATCCTTTACGATGTTGGTATTATAGGTTTTATAGGAGCAACTACGGACAGCAGCCATTTCGCATAGTTTCATGGTTCTACTGCACANGTGGACGTGATGTGATATGATCACCGAGATGGTGTGATTTAACTCCTTTAGACTTTTCTTGTGGGGTTTTATTAAGTCGCAGGTGTATGCGAATAAGCCACAAACCACATCGTTCCTCAAAGCCAACATAACCTATACCATTGGTCAAATTCAGCCTGAATTTGGCGCCAGAAATATAGAAAATTGGATGTTTCAGATGTGCTCCAACCAGAGAAGCCGTGGCTAATATTTGAACGATGTTATATTCCACACATAATGTCATCAATAGGTATTTCAAGCAAATACAATTTTTTGATGATATCACACACACTTTGTTTTATCTGAAATTAAAGATAGGAAGTGCTCAATGAAAGACCCTATAGAAAACACATTATAAATGTTGAAAAAATGATCTTCTTTATCTTTTCTATATGCATATAAATTTATCAACATTATATTCAGTTGTAGTTAATTGTTGTCACACTTTCAACAAAACCAAGGAAAAAGCTCCTTACAAAAGAGTCATTTATTTCATAACTTCATGATGTAGTTTGTTGGAAAAATTACGATTTTAGGAAAATCAGCAGCAGCAGGTTATGAGTTTTTATTACTGAGAGTTTTTGAAATAGTCAAATTTTAGATAGCAACACCAACTTTTGGCTTCAGATTCGTGATCAGCAGTAGGTGGTTAGGTAGATTCCATTACCAGCGTGTCAAATATTGGCTTCAGATTTGTGATTGTATATTTGTGAAAATATTTCAAATAATAGTGTGAACTGTTAAAATGAATATTAACTTCCCAATTTCAATGTGTCAGTCCATACTGAACTTGTGTACTTACTTCTCTCTGGAGCGGGTCTACTGCCACTATATTTCCTATAAAGTTCTTTAAGCTTTACTTGATCATTGAGAGCAAGAGCATCCAAATATTCATTTTGTGCTTTGAGTCTTTCAAGATCAGGAAAAAAATCCCTTTGGATGATTTTTCCAATTTCCTAAAGAACAGATACAAAATTAATACAAAGTGATGAAATATTCCATGAGATTTTCCATACCTCCACATAGGTTTCTTCTTGTAAAACTTTCTTCTTGTTTCGTTTTTTAGCTTTTCCAATGGGTTTCTTGAAAACTATATCATTATGCAGAGTTTCCATTATTTCCATCGCTTTCCTGCCAGGGGAATTCTCAATAGAATCACACATATTGGAAAATATTTAAGAACTTTGTAGTTAGGTATTATACTATCATCAAATTAAATGAGGTTAGCTTTTGATGACATAGAACATACACATCCACGGAATCATAGAATCACAGAGTGAATTAAATTCCTTTTGAGCTGTATTCGAGTTGTTGGTTGCCCGGAACGATCGGAGCACACCCTGAATGATTTTGTAGTATTTCTTTTGAAACTTTAGAGTCGGGGTATGCTCTCGCTCCTGTGTGTCAATTTTTTCCTGTTTCTGTATTCAAAAAACACTTATTAGTAGATTTTCACTGAACAGCTTTATAAAAACGCAAAACAATGGCTTCTTCAAGCGTGTCTGTACTCTATTGAACTGTTGATAAAGATCTCACAATAAAGTATTTTTCTGATACCTACGTTATGAATTTTCATCAAGTACCGGTCGATTCCATCAAATATCCTGTTTCTGATTTCACGCTCAATCAATGACATACACTTTATTTCACATTGAACTAAGGTTAAAAGTATAATTCTGTCCCCAATTCCCTCAAACAATTAAATTTCGCAAATTTCAAAACTAAATATGAAGACCATTTGTTCTACTGAAATTAAAGTAAATTATTGATATCTTGTAAGGAATAGGTAAAGTAAACTCTGTAGGTAAGGTGTTTGTTCGTATTTATATTACCTTTATATATAACAACCACAGTTTTATTTTATTTTTTTCTTCTTCTTTTTTTCTCTTTTTAGGGTTGAGTGGAAGAACATTTTTCGTGACGTCGTATTGCATTACGGACGATGAACTTCGCCCTTTATTTCACTTGCTAGTTTGAATAGTTATGTTGAGTTTTTTCGTTCATGAAATAATAAATAGGGTATTATTATTATTAGGTACTCTTATCATTGAATACTACGTAAGAAGGTCTGTCCGCTAGATCGGGTGTCAACTCGAATGCAGTTAAAGAGGGGCAGACATGCTCGCTCAAATTCTGCATAATTTTTACGAATGAAATGATTACCACAAACAGGTTGCTTGCTTGTTTGATTTGTGATTGTGCCACACAACCACAAACACAATTTGTTAGTTTCGATGATCTGAATCATCACCATTCTTGTAGACGATCATGTATGTTGTCCCTCTCAAGCTGATAACATGAATAATGAGATGAATTACTTGATTGCAATTATTTTCTCGAATTCTAGTATATGTGTATGGTTGGTAGATGTCGACTGTTTTGAAGTTCACACGTGGTATGAATGAAATGTTAGCAATGTAGAATAAAGAAGAAGAATAGTATGTTAGGTATAATGTAACATTCCGTTTTTCCACTTTTCATATTTTATTATTTTCGACACAATATGAACAGGAATAAACCTGTTTTGCCAATTTTAATTTGTAGATTGTAACATACCAGTTATTGATATTTCTATTTTCACTGATCTAGGATTCTTCTAAGCAGTCTACAGTAGTACTCCAAATAAATCATAATCAGAATGCTGAAACCTATTTCAAAGTTCATATTGATTATTTTGATTATTTTTATTCATGTAACGGTTAGGATTACGAATAAACATCAACTAGTTCTTTCCTTCTGTTGTCCAGTCATAGTCTTTATTTTTATAGTGTAGTGTAACGTAGAGTAAGTGAGATATACAGAGAGAGAGAGATCTTTTAGTAATGTCAAATCTAGAATCGGGCTTTGCATATATATGAATGATTCAACAGGTGGCAAAACTTGTCTGAACATCGAACTGATACCGATTCTATAAGTGAGGATGAAGTTTTGAAAGGGTCTTTTCGGTGCTTGGCTTCGTATGGAAATCATGCCAGTTAATAAATAAATTGGATAAATAATATGTTTCAAAATCGAGATCTAGGATACGGGATCAGTCTACCTCAAACTACAGATCAAAAACTCAGTCTAGGTATTTCGAGCCCACGAAAATAATTATGTTACTACCATCTCAAATTCAATGAAAAAGTTAGAAAATGTGATTCGCCTTGTACTAATACAGACAAAAGTGATTCGGAAAACTAGCAGGCCAGTCGTAGATGACGACCAACATTTTTCGCCAGGAAGAGGCGTCTTTTCATTCACGAACCTATTAAAAAAGGTGTTTTCCTCATTTATAGTGGTTCTGATGTTTCAATTGTACCCAAAAATAAGAACTCCTTATACGGAAAACTCGTGTAAGCAGTTAATGAAATGATAATTGACACTTATGATAAAGAACTCCTTGCGATATTTTCATGCTTGAAGGATGTGAATTTGTAATATATTCTGATAAACAGAAACTACTTCTCCCAGACCATACCAATACCTAGATTTCATTAGGCAGTTTTCCACACATATCAGGCATATTTCTTATTCCAAAAATATTGTTGCTGACACCTTATCAAGAATTTGACACAAATAAGACACTTATTTGACCCTAACTAGAAAGGAATTATTAGGGCCAATGACGTGTCATTGGGCACCGCGACCAACAATACTGAGGAAAGAAAGTACTTCAATTTTCAGAAACACATCAATGATTTCGGGTGGAGCGATATACAATGAGCTGTTTGAAATGGCCTATGTTACTGTATGTAGTTCTCATGCCATACATCTATTTTCAGACTTTTGGAAGCATAGAAAAATCTAGTGTCATGTACCGATCTCAATAATTTCAGACACTAGATTTTCTGGTCTCCAAAATAGGAATCAAATCCGCCCATGATAGCTAGAGATTCCAATATACTCGTAATCCAAGTTATCGATACCTATAAATGCGAAAGTCACTCACTTAACACTTAGTCCGTACTGATAAGTCCTAGGAAGCTAACTTATGGTATATAGGTGCTTCTTAGGTCTTAGATGCGCACCAAGGATTTTCAAATATTCCA